AAATCCGTCCGTGCAACCTCCTCGTGGTGCATATCGGTTAATACTAATGCCGGCGGTAACTGTTAGTTTATAAAAATTGTTAAAAATTGTTGCTTATTGCAATATTGCATACAACAATTATTAAAATTGTTAAGGTACACACTTCTTAATCATGTACGAATAATCATTTCTCTTTACTTGTTATATTTTGTCTTTACAGGGGCAATGTCCGCCCTTTCCTATGTTTCGATTCACTGTGCGGCGTGGCTTATCGTGGTATTGAAAGCGCGGTACAGTGCGCGTTGCTATTGCGGTAAAAGCTACCCGATCACTTCGAGTGTGCTACAACGGCGTGGCCTATCGTAATATTGAAAGCGCGATATTCCGAGTCGCGAAACGCATAAAATCTCGATGAGCGTGTGTCACGCGTCAATACCGAGCATATCCGAGATATTGCAAAGTCGGTGAACATTGTAAGAACGTTGTGTGATTGTGTCGTGTGCGTGTTTAATTGTTGTTTAATAAATTCGTTGTTAATATTACACGAATCATTCTCGTCATTTCGACGCCCTATCCTCGCGAGTGTTTTGAAAATATTTCAGCATCGCAGAACGAGGAAATTCTTGAGCCACGAGCACACCAACGAGACATCCCGAACGAGCGATCCAGCCAACGAGCGACAGGGATCCAAGGGAAATTAAGTAACATCCTTGTTATTTGGAGGTGAAAATAACTGGCGGCCGAATTAGTAAGTAATTCAGTTTATTATACGGCGTTGTCCGGTCACAACCTAACCTTGGAACCGGAATCTTTTCAGATCCCGCTTCCAGTTTGTGGCGAAAACGTCACCGCAACACCGGCGGACGAGCCACAACGAGCAGCCAAACAGATGTTCAATGATATATCATCGGACGACACACGAAATGGATTAAGTGGCAACATCGAGCGTCGAGACAGTGCCGACGACATCGAGAAGTTGGTGAAAGAAATTGAGACTGGCGCTGGAGCGCCTCTGATAGCGCCTGTTGTGGCGCAACCCGTTGTGCACGCAACAAACACCGAAGAGTTGGTGCGGCAGACGGAAGCAATAATTAAGACTCTCGAATAATAATGACTTTTAAGAAGACAGCGGGGCAAATTGCCACATTTTTTATTTGTTTTGTGGGCATATGTACTAGCCTCAGTTTTTGATGTGATAATATATATTTTGAAAAATTCGCTTGACGAATAGCGCAAATGTATTACGGGTCATAATTACGTTATATTCAAATTTATATGTTTTTTACGTGTTACGCAAGATATTGCGAAGATTCTAATTATGTTTCTTTTCTGAATGTATTTTCTATTTAGGCTCCAGAGAGTTTTATGTATTACCACTTTTTATTATATTTTTTGTAAGCGCACTGAATGACAAGCATGAGTATGACTGAGCGCGATATTTTATTATATTTATATTCTTTCGATAATAGTCGAATTATGTGTTACACACGCGAAAAGCGAATAAAAATGCGTTATAATTAAAATTAATCACAATTTATAAAAGATACACTTACCTGCGACAATAATTACCACAATTCCGCAGCGAACCACTTACAGGGACCTGAAACATAGAGAAAAAGCATTTAAAATCAGTTTGAGTCACAATTTCACGAGTTAAATACTCACCTTATAAGTTTTGCTAAAATAGAGCCGAAGGCTCTTACCTGAAAATAAGAAATTAATGTTAGTTAGTCGCAAATAGTGCAATATAAGATGATATAAGTTTGATTCGATTCATTTTACCACTTTTATTTCAGTGAGAGATACATTGATTAAGCATTAGATAAGATTCTACCACATTTCACGCGAAGATAGATAATCAGTATCGATTTCAGTGGTTTCTACCACAATTTGTCACAATATAATTCATTAACATTAGTTTTAGTTTATTTAATAAGAAAGTGCCACATTTCGTCACAATTCCGCGTGTTAAAAGACATTGTAAAAGTTTCTCTCACAATCCGCCACTATTCATCGTCCAGGAGGTCGTGACGGCGCTCCGGGGATAATACGCGGTCTCTCGGAGGATAATCGCCACATTCGATGGTAACTCCGAGTCGGTATCTGAAGCCACTCGGGAGGTAACTATGGGACATACGATCCTTTGATACCCGAGAGCCCGTGTGAAGAACGTCGGGACTTCGAGTCGCTCGCTCTACTGAGCGAGTAACGCCAAGCGCGTAAAGTCAGACGCGACGTCATCGCGACGCGCGTAGTAATATCCGCGCCTACAAGAAGAGCGGATCCCGCGATTTATTAGAAGATTTATTTTATTGGCCGATGAAAGACGGCCATGTTCTCTGTTTCCGAGAGAGGAGCGTTACTACCCGGGCACGTCCGGAAGTTTCGCGCCTTCCTCGGGGTCATTTGTCTCTCGACTCTCTACCGAGATAGACGAAGTCCCGGCCGCGTGATAAAACCGCCGTCGTTAATTTTATAAGTACGCGATACGCGATAAAGCGACGCGATTAATTCCGCGTAAACGCGAAGACCGTTCAAGGTGTTAATTAAACGAGTCGGGTTCACCGTAATCTCGTTATTTCCGACAGCCGTAAA